CTAGCGGCCACGGAGTGAACACCCGCAGGAACATTCCCAGGGCGCGGAACCATCGCTTCTCGCTGGCTCACAGCTGCTGAGAAGGTTCTGGGAGACTCCGGAAAACCACCAGGCGGGAACAGAGAGGAGCTCCAGAGCGCAGGGAAGTCGGTGCAGTTCCTTGCATTTGGCAGAGATGGAGACAGATGAAAGGCTCCTAGAAAAAACCGGTCTGCAGGATTCAGCCGCCTTGGTGGATCAGCGAACGGGGGCGTCCTTTGTGGATGGAAACTGGAGGTGACACGTGCCGGGTGTCAGCTGTCTGTGAGCTGGGGTACGAAGGACAAAGTCCTGAGCGTTCACTGTGCCCACTTCTCCACGAATCCTCCCAACCCTCAGGTTCATGCCGCCCTCTGGGTGCTGATCAATTACCCGGCCATCAGAACTTGGCCATCTGTTTTGCCTTAGTACCCACTGACATAATTTTTATTTATTTAGTTTTTTTTGGGTCACACCCGGTGATGCTCAGGGGTTACTCCAGGCTCTGTGCTCAGGAATCACTCCTGGTGGTGCTCAGGGGATCCTATAGGATGCCAGGATTGAACCCAGGTTGGCTGAGAGCGAGGCAAACGTCCTATTTGCTGTCCTATCTCTCTGGCCATCTTATTATTATTTTTTTTCATGACATCAAACACAAAACAAACACTGTCCTCCCATTGTTCATCAATTTGCTCGAGCGGGCCCAGTAATGTTTCCATTTTGAGACTTGTTGTTGGGGCTGGAATGATAGCACAGAGGGTAGGGCATTTGCCTTGCACGCGGCCAACCCAGGTTCGATTCCCAGCATCCCATATGGTTTCCCGAGCACTGCCAGGAGTAATTCCTGAGTGTAAAGCCAGAAGTAAACCCTGTGCATCGCAGTGTGACCCAAAAAGAAAAAAAAAAAGATACTTGTTGTTACTGTGTTTCGCATATCGGATACATCATGGGTAGCTTGCCAAGCTTTGCCCTGTGGGTGAGATACTCTTGGTAGCTTGCTGGGCTCTCTGAGAGGGGCGGAGGAATTGAACCCGCTTCAGCCAGGCTGGCTGCGCGCAGGGCAAGTTCCCTACCGCTGTGCTATCACTCTAGCCCCTTTCATGACATCATTTTTTAAAAATTGAGTCACCGTGAGATAGTTCTAAAGCTTTTATGTTTGAATTTCAGTACAATGATTGAACACCCATCCCTCCACCAGCGCACATTCTCCACCACCAATCTCCCCAGTATACTGCCCCCTTTCCCACCCTCCCCCTTGCCTCCATGGCAGACAATTTTCCTCATTCTCTCTACTTTTGGGCATTATGGTTTGCAATACAGATACTGAGAGGTTATCACATTTGGTCCTTTACTCTCAGCACACATCTTCCATCCCAATTCCTCCAACTATCACTGACTTAGCAATCCCTTCTCTATCCCAGCTGCCTTCTCCCCCAGCTCACGAGGCAGGCTTCCAATTATGGGGCAGTATGCCTGGCCCTTGTGTCTACTGTCCTTGGGTGTCAGTCTCACACATGCACTGTCACACTGTCCTCCTGTTGTTCATCGATTTGCTCGAGCGGGCCCAGTAACGTCTCCATCATAAGACTTGCTGTTACTGTGTTTGGCATATCGAATACATCACGGGTAGCAGCTTGCCAGGCTTTGCCGTGAGGGCAAAATACTTTCGGTAGCTTGCCGGGCTCTCCAAGAGGGATGGAGGAATCAAACCCGGCTCGGCCAGGCTGGCTGCACACAAGGCAAACGCCCTACTGCTATGCTATCGCTCCAGCCCAGTCTCATGTTATTTTATATTCCATGACATCATTCTTAAGATAGGACACAGGACTGGCGACAGAGCAAGGCAGGCTTTGCGTGCAGAGACCTGGGTTTGGTCCCCTAAGCCACATGGATCACTGGCCTTTCTCTCCCCACAATGCTCACATCCTTCCTTGTCCAGAGTCATTGCCAACCACCCGGCGCCCTAACTCCTCAGCTTCACCTTCTGGAGTGACTCCTGAGTATCCTGAGATGCTGCATCCTGAGATGCTGCAGTTTCCTCACCCTCCCTACCTCCTTCACCACCGTGTCAAAGCTTTTCAACCGGTCCTCGGCCCCCAGCAGTAGCTGGCCACGACTTCAGGCCCAGTGCTCAGGGGACCGTTGGAGGACCGTGAATTGAACCCGGCCTCCTGCCTGCAAAGCCTGAGCTGCAGTGCCTGCGGCTCTCTCCTGGCCCCGTGCGGGTGGGAACCTTCTAGAACAAATTCTCAGCTCCCTGCCAGACCTAGGGAACGCATGGGCGGGCTCAGGATGACCAGGCTCAGCTCGCAGAGGCCCTGAGTGAAGGAGAAGTGAATGAGGCTCAGGGGAACTCAGGCCGAAGAGAAACAGAGAACCTTCTGGCAAGCAGAAGCACAGCTGGCTTTCATTTTATTAGGGGCTGCAGAGAGTTAAGGGTTAAGAGGCACTTGCCTTGCATGCAAGCACTGCCAAGAGTAGCCCCAGAGCTCCTGGGGTACGGCCCTCCCCTCCCCCAAACAGCCTTACTTAGGGAATAGGAGGAGGGAGGGTGTGTGAGAGGCAGGAACACGGTCCAGGAGAGAACAAGGCCTCTCTAGAGGGGAGAGTCTGATGTCGGTGGGCCCCACGGGTGACTTATGTGAAGGGGGGCGGTGAGGAAGAAAGACAGCGACTTTCTCCCCATCCACCTCTGCCATCCGGGACCCAGGGTTATTGGGCTCTTGTCTCTCCGCCTCACAGAAAGGAATTTCTGGAATAGACAAGCAGTGAAGTAAATAGATTTTATTTGGAGGTTTTGAAGGGAAGGAGGGAGAGAGAGTGGGAAGAGAGTGGAGAGGTCAAGAGAGAACCCCGGCTTCTCCAAGGGCAGAGAGAGCCCCCAGATAGACACATCCCAGCATTAGACATGAAAGCACGAAAGGACACATCTCAAGAGGGGAGATGCGGGCGACACATGTGCTTGGCCACGTGGGCGCAAGCAGCACAATGGGCTTGGGCAGCATGCACGCACCCTTCCACTATTCAAGGTGGCCTTAAAGGGTTTCTCCAACCTGCCCCACGTGGGGCTTCTACCTCGTCAAAAGTCAAGTCCGTTGCTAAGGAGGACCTGGTGGTGCTCCAGGAGTCAGGGGTCACTCCTGGCGGTGCTCAGGAGACCAGAGTGGTGCCAGGAGGGCACCTGGCCTGGCATGGCTAAGAGGAAGTGCCTGGCGTCCCAGAAGCCACTTCACTCTTCTCTGGGTGGTGCCTCGATTTCTCCCTCTCCCAGGAGCTGAAATTTGCATCTCAAAGGATGCAAATTTGGCCTTCAGGTTTCAGGCTGTTTCTGGACAGAGTAGGTCATTTGCATTTTAGGTCACGCCTGCCTGTGTTATGGGGGTGTGGAGGGGCCCTTATAGTTCCTCAAAATAAAGAAGAATTCCGGGACAGAAAGGCAGGATGGGCTTTAAGGGACTCACCTTGCAGGAAGACCCAGCTTCAACCCCCAGCACGGGAAGGAGTCAGTCCTAAATACCCAACCCTAATAAAAAAAAAAGCCAAAACCAAAACCAAAAACCTTTTGAATTCACTAATTCATCTGTAAAGGTAAAGGCCCTCCCGTTGATCATCGATTTGCTCGAGCGGGCCCAGTAACGTCTCCATTGGAGACTTTGTTGTTACTGTGTCTGGCATATCGAATACTCTCGGTAGCTTGCCGGGCTCTCCGAGAGGGGCGGAGGAATCGAACTCGGGTCGGCCATGTTGGCCGCTTGTAAGGCGAACGCCCTACCCGCTGTGCTATCGCTTCATCTGCTGACATTCTTTTTTTGGTGATGGTTGGGGAGGGGGGTGTTGACCGTACACCTGGGGGGTGGGCACACCTGGCAGTGCTCAGGGATCATGCACCATTGTGATTAGAAGTCAGGTGGGCCTCGAGCCCATCTGTCCCATCTCTCCATCCTGGCCCCCTGAGAACTCGGTGCCATGCAGACCAAGGGAACTGGGGCTTGATAGCTACCTGGAGGGGCTCACCCGAGGGTCCCTGCGGTCTCGTGAGACTTGACCAGGCTGGGAGTGGGAACACCCACTCAGGTCGTCAGCCACCCCTGTAGAGGCCAGTAGTTAGGGGGCTGCAACAATATGATTGGGGGGGTCCCCGCCTCTGGTCATGTAGATGGGACACATGGTGTAGACAAGTCTCTCATCTACATCACCATCAGCCCTGGGCATTCTCGGCTGCCTGGAGACCAAGGGCGCTAATGCGTGTGATGCGGGGGAGGGGTCGTGGCACCCCACGGGGAGCTCAGGGGCCCCCCGTTTTTGGAAAGTGTGGTATCAGGTGCATTCCGCGTCCCCCCCACCCCAATCCTTACAGAGGATGCGTGGGGGGCGCACCCCCCCGCTCCCAGACGCAGGCCCGACCGGCCCAGGACCACCGGCGACCACCCCCGGGGACCCAGCTGAGAGCTCTCGAGGCGTTTCCGGCTCGCACGCCCCCCGCCGGGAAAGCCCAGGTGGGCGCGGCGCCCCACGGGCCGCGTCCGCTTTAAGGGGCCGTCCAGGGCGGGGCCTCGGGCCGCCGGGCCCGGCGGCCTCTGCGTCCCGGTGTCCGGCTCCGGGGACTCGGCCGTCCGCTCTTGGCTCTGCTGCTCGAACCTCGGCGCCCGGGCCCCGCGCACCCCCGTCCCCGGGCCCTATCCCGCGCCCCGCGGTCCCCCCTCGGCCGCTCCGGCCCCCACGGTCGGATCCGGGGCGGGGACTGGGCCGCGCGTCACCCGGCTGCGCCGTGGGCACCCTCCCCAGATCGGGAAACGCTCGGCGCGGGCCCCGTTGGGGAAACGCTCGGTGCGGGTCCCGTTGGTGGAACGCTGGTCGCGGGTCCCGTTGGGGAAAGGCTGGGCGCGGGTCCCGTTGGTGGAACGCTGGTCGCGGGTCCCGTTGGGGAAACGCTGGGCGCGGGTCCCCTTGGAGAAACGCTGGGCGCGGGTCCCCGTTGGTGAAACCTTGGTGGAAAGCTGAGCGCGGGTCCCGTTTGGGGAAAGCTGAACGCGGGTCCCCGCTCGGGAAACGCTCGGCGCGGGTCCCCTTAGTGGAACGCTCGGCGCGGGTCCCCGTTCGGGGAACGCTTCGGCGCGGCCGGGAGCGCGGCCACATGCCGCAGCGTGAGTGGGGGGCAGCCAGGCTCGGCCGCGGCGGGTCCCCGCGAGGATGGGGACCCCGTGGCGCGTGTGGGTCCGGGCGTGCGCGTGGCGCCTGAGGCGCGCGGGGCTCCGCGAGGAGCTGTTCTGCACCGCGTCGGGGCCCGCGGGGGGCGCGCGCCGGGACCGGCTCTGTTGGCTACTGGTGGGCGCTTTCCCCAGACTCCTCTGGGCCCCCGGGGAGCCCGCGGACGGGGGTCCCGGGCGGCCGGGCCCGCAGAGCTGGAGCGAGTTGGCCGGGCGGGGGCCGTCGGGGCGCGGCTCCCTCGAGCCGTGGCCCGGTTCGCTGCTGCGGTACCTCCGGATCGGGCTGCGGGCCGCCAGCCTCCTGCTGAGGTTCTTCCCGCTCCTCGCCCTCTACCCCCTCACCTACCTGGCGCCCGGCGCCACGGGCCTCTGGCTGCATCTGCTCCTCAAGGCCACGGAGGCCGCGGGCCCCACCTACATCAAACTGGGCCAGTGGGCCAGCACGCGGCGGGACGTGTTCTCCGAGGCCTTCTGCGCGCGCTTCTCCAAGCTGCACGTGCGCGTCACCCCGCACCCCTGGGCGCACACCGAGCTCTTCCTGCGCCAGGCCTTCGGGGACGACTGGGGGAAGGTGCTCCGCTTCTCCCAGCGGGAGCCCGTGGGCTCGGGCTGCGTGGCTCAGGTGTACAAGGCGCACGCGGACCCCGGCTTCCTGGAGCAGAAACTCCCTGGCCGCAGCCCCTGGGGCCCGGTGGGAAGCCTGGCCGACCAATCGTTGATAGAAAGACTGCTCCTGCCCCGGACTGCGCCGCTGCTCCCACCCAATGCAGTTCCGGCTCAGCCCCCGGAGCCCGTCCACCAGCCTGAGCAAGCCCACCTCATCCCGGTGGCAGTGAAAGTAAGTGCTTGGGGTCTTCGGCCGGGCCCACCCTGTCTGTGAACTAACTGCGCGGCCCAATCTGTCCTTGCTTTTGGCCCACTCACCGGTGGAGGGGACACTGCTCTTGACTCAGTGCTCTTTGGCAGCCGCTGCTAAGGCCTATCCCGAGCTGTCTTCCCGCCCTGCGTCATGTCACCGGTCAGCCTGACTTTTGTCTGAACGCCTGCAGTGGACAGGCTGTTCTATTTCACTCTGGGCGTTGGGAGGGTGCATGACCCAGGTGTCAAAGCGAAGGGCCTGGCCCACAGGGCATTGCATTTACCTTTTCATGCATCTTGGTCGGAGTTGGAGCTCCGGCACCTCCTGGGGTTCCCCAGAACCTGCTGGTTGTGCTCCCTCAGCGCAGAGCCTGGATGCTACTGGATGTGGCCCCCAAACAAAACCCGAAGTGGCCCGGCTGACCTGCTTGGGGCAGGTGGGCAAGATCAGCATGGGTCAGATGGTGGCAGTCGTGGAGCAGGGGGGAGTCGCTGCCCTCTCAGGTCCCCCCACTTCCCACCCCTTTTCTCTGTCCACGAAGCACATCCCCAGGGAACCTGTTAAGTAGTAGGCGCTCCTGAAATTCTCTTCGCCGCTTTGAAAAACTGTGGGCCCCCCACCCAACCTGAAACGTGTTCAAGCAAGGAGGTGTGGCGTTTTTTGTTTTTTTCTTTCTTTTTGGGTCACACCTGGCGATGCACAGGGGTTACTCCTGGCTCTGCTCTCAGGAATTACTCCTGGCGGTGCTCAGGGGACGCTATGGGATGCTGGGAATCGAACTCGGGTCGGCCGCGTGCAAGGCAAACGCCTGTGTGCTATCACTCCAGCCCCAGAGGTGTGGCTTTGTAGGGCCGCTGCAAGAGACGCTGGTGCCCAGGCACCTTTGGGCACCGCTGTCTCTGTCCCATGTTCCTGCCGCTCTGCGCTCAGTTGTTATTCTGTGCCTTCCAGGCGGGCGTTTATTCTACTTGGATCCATTTATTTCCATATATATGTGTGTAGGATAACACTGTTTTGTCCTTCCTCAGTAGCTTAGGTTTACCAGGTCACACCCATCTAAGGACACTGAACTTGTAAGCAATGTCCTTTCTGTATGGACACAGGAAGACAGTTAATATTATGCTTTGTAACTTGGGAGTTGATTGACTCTGAATAATATTTACTCCTGGGCATCTGCTTTCTTGACTCAGTTGCCCTTAGTTCCTAGCACCCAAAAAGCAGGGTCCCGACAATGGACTGAATGGACCCAGGGCAAGCTGTGAGCTACCCTGGCATATGTGTATGTATATATATCACGACCATCCTGTTATTCGTCGATTGCCTCCAGCGGTAACATCTCCTTCGTCCTAGCCCTGAGATTTTTAAAAAAGTGCCATATTCAAGGCTCTTTCAGAGTTAGGAGAATGAGACCCATCATTGTTACTGGAATTTGGCATATTGGGTACGCCACAGGGAGTTTGCCAGACTCTGCCGTGTGGGCAGGTTACATTCGGTAGCCAGTTTGTCCAAAGTAGGAATGAGAAAATAAGATGTTGCGCGGCCACAAATGCGGCTGCGCGCTTCTGGGAGCTGGGTTTTATAGTCTCAGAGTCTTGGCCGTTGATGGGATTACACAGCGCCAGGGGGCCAGTTGGTGGGTGTGACCCCTGCCTACTGGAATTTGGAGGATCTGGGTGGAGGATGCTCAGCCCCGATCTGAGTAGGCTTGGATAAAAATATATATTTTGCCACACCCAGTGATGCTCAGGGCTTACTCCTGGCTCTGCACTCAGGAATCATTCCTGGCGGTGCTCAGGGGACTCTACGGGATGCCGGGGATCGAACCCTGGTCAGCCACCTGTAAGGCAAGTGCCCTCCCCGCTGTTCTATCTCTCCGCTCTTAGACTTTCTTTTTATCTGCTTTGGGGGACACTCCCTGCAAGTGCTGGGGCAGCCCCCCTATGCCGCCTCTCCGGCCCTCACTGACCCTCTTCCAACAGGTGTTGCACCCGGGCCTGATCTCTCAGGTGCAGATGGACCTGCAGCTGATGAAGATGGGCAGCCGAGTGCTGGGCCTTCTGCCGGGAGTCCAGTGGCTCAGCTTGCCTGAGATCGTGGAGGAGTTCGAGAAGCTCATGGTCCAGCAGGTGAAGTCTCGTCCCATCACTAGCACATCCCTACCTGGTGCTGGCCAGCATTAGTGAGTCCTGGCCAGGCCGGTGCGTGAATATGGGCAGGGAAGGCCAATGGTCAAGGTGGCCGTTGCACAGAGTGGAGGCAGACCCAGCCCTGCACTCAGGGCCCCGGCTTCCTTCCACCTGTCACCCGGAGTCAGTGTGGCTGAGGGATAGAGCAGGAGCACCAGGTGACACTGGAGTGGTCACACGGGTCTCTTGGAATATGGGGGGGGCGGCGGGGAGGAAGGTACTCAGACTCAGAGCTGGACACACAGCAAAATTCATTGAAAAAGAAACTCTCAGGCCCGGGAGGGACTTAATTTAGCACTGTATCAAGGTTGGGTCATTTTGTGGCATTTTTTTGTAGGAAAACTGGGTTTTCCTACAAGACCTCATGACATTTACCTGTCCAAGGCCCAGGGGGTTTCCCAGAGATGTCTTATTAATTGAGGGCCCGTGGTTGTTGCTAATAATTTGTTGTTCCTATTGAGGATGGGGGTGGGGAGACTGTTTATTTACGACCTGGGCTGGGTGGTGGGGGGGTCTTTAATGACATGGACTTTATTTAAGACCTTTCAACTGACCTCAGCTCAGGTATTGCCTGTGGTCTCTCTGAGGCCTGGCGCAGAATTCCTGGTCCCAGAAAGGGTGGACAGTACAGCAGGCTGGGTGCCTGCCTTGAAAGTGGTGAATCTCGGTTGAACCCTGCTGTGGTCCCCGAGGGCAGAGCCAGGAGCATGCAGTGTGGCCGGGATAAGGTGCCTGTCATTTGGGGACTGGAGGGAGAGCTGACAAAGGTCACAGCCCAGGGAAAGGCGCCTCCTGCTGGGGAGAAGGAGAGTTGCAACCCGCCGTCCTGCAGGGGACCTGCCCCTAGCTCTGAGGAGCCCCTGGTCACAGAGAGCCACCCCCTGGGCCCCTCCAGGAGCCACGAGGGGCGGGCAGGCGCACCTCTGCGCCGCCTGCTCCACTCTTTGCCTCCGTTTCCCTGCAGATTGACCTGCGGTATGAGGCTCGGAATCTCGAACATTTCCAGTGCAACTTCCTGAACGTGAATTCCGTCAAGTTCCCCACCCCTCTGCGGCCCTTTGTCACCAGGGAGGTCTTGGTGGAGACTTATGAGGTGAGACAGGCTGTCCCCGAAAACGAGGGATGGGGCAGCAGGAGGCCGCCCTTGGCATGAGACCCCCGAGGTCTGTTAGTGCCTGTTAGTGCCGTCAGGGCAGGGAGGCTGTGCAGAGAGCCCGAGTGACAGCAGGAAGGTGCGACCCTGAGATCCCACAGCTCAGAGGGCCCAGCGCTGTCAGCTGTGTGACCTTGAGCAAGTCGCTTCAACGCTCTGGGCTTTAGTTCTCTTATTTGCCTGTTTGGGTACAAGAGCTGTCTCCAGGGCTGCTTGGACAGTCAAACTAGCCCGGGCCGGGAGTGGCCATGCTAGGGCGCCTGGTCTAGCCTGGGCCTTGGAGTGGCCCTAGTTTCCCCCAGCCTAATCACATCAGCCGCCAGCATTGCAGAAGCTGCCCCTTGCCCCCCAGCACTGAGCACGGAGAGGGCCCCCATTCCCAGACACACTTGTATTCTCCAAAATGCACCCACCCAAGTGTGCACGCACCACCCTCTCCCGCTTCTCCCTTTTTCCCTGTCATTTTCCTGCCAAGCTCAGGAATGAACAACGAACTGTGGTTCATTCATGCTCTAAGGGCAGATGATTTTTTTTTTTTTTTACTGTGGTTTCATTAGGGATTTGGACAATTTTTGTAGGTCCACTCCAGTTGAGACTATTCCGCAGACACATTTTAATTTTTTTGTGGTTCTGGGAATTGAACTTAGGACCGCATACGTGCAAGGCAAGTGCTTTTTCTGCTGCACAGCCGCTCTGGACTGTTTTTTTTTTCTTTTTGGGTCACACCCGGCGATGCACAGGGGTTACTCCTGGCTCTGCACTCAGGAGTTACTCCTGGCGGTGCTCAGGGGACCATATGGGATGCTGGGAATCGAACCCGGGTCGGCCGTGTGCAAGGCAAACGCCCTACCCGCTGTGCTATCTCTCCAGCCCCTCCGGACTGTTTTTATATTGGCTCATATTTGCTGGTGTCAGGGGCTCCTTCTGGCTCAGGGGCTACTCTCAGCAGTGTTGGGGACCAAATCAGCGCCCACGTGCAGACCCCCCTGAGTCTGCTAACCTCCCTCCCCCATTTATTAATATTATTATTTTTCTCTTTTTGGGTCACACCCAGCGATGCTCAGGGGTTCCTCCTGGCTCTGCACTCAGGAATTACTCTTGGCGGTGCTTGGGGGACCATAAGGGATGCCGGGGATCGAACTTGGGTTGGACGCGTGCAAGGCAAACACCCTACCCGCTGTGCTATCGCTCCAGCCCCCTTTGAGCCATATGTGGAGAGGACTCCGTACAGTGCTCAGGGGGTCCGTGTGGTGCTAGGGATTGCACCGGGCCTCCTGCTGCACTGTGTATGCTCAGGTTGTTCAGAGATTCTTCTGGCTTTCTGTTATTGTTGTAGGGTGACAGCCCTGGCATTTCTGGGGGTGGGAGGGGGGTGTCCTGTGGTTCCAGGGTTCAAACCCAGGGCCTTGCATGTTCAGTGTGTCTCCACTGCTCTGAGCCCTGCCTTTGAGCTGATTTGTTCTCAACTCTGCGCCCACCCTGCCCTTTCCTGGGACACTGTAAGCTGTGGGTGGCAGAGTCAGTGTGGGGAGGGGGGGTGCTTTCCTTCTGAAAAGGGGGACAGAAAGGGGATGTGCTCGGGGGACAAACTCACTAGGGGCGCTTTGGGTCATGCCTGCTCCTGGGGCCAGGATGCAGCTGTGGCCTTGGGTATGGAGTGAGACAGGCAGAGCGCGCAGAAAGAGCCTGGGTCCCCTTCCCATCACAGGAGAGCGTGCCCGTGTCCAGCTTCCAGCAGGCCGGGACTCCGGTGCCCGTGAAGAGGAAGATTGCACGACTTGGCATCAACATGCTGCTGAAGATGGTGTGTGGGGGGCTGTGTGTGGGGAGGGGCTGGGGCCGAGACCGGGTCATGCTGCCATGCTGGGTGGGGCCGTTACCTTTTGCTTTTTTTTTTGGGGGGGGGGGTCAAGCTCAGTGATACACGGGGGTTACTCCTGGCTCATGCACTCAGGAATTCCTCCTGGCGGTGGTCCCCCAGTGGTGCTCAGAGGACTGTATGGGATGCTGGGAATTGAACCTGGGTTGGCCACATGCAAGGCAAATGTGTTATCGGTCCTGCTCCTGCTCTTTTTTTTTTTTTTTTTTTTTTGCTTTTTGGGTCACACCTGGCGATGCACAGGGGTTACTACTGTCTCTGCACTCAGGAGTTACTCCTGGCGGTGCTCAGGGGACCATATGGGGTGCTGGGAATCGAACCTGGGTCGGCCGTGTGCAAGGCAAACGACCCACCCGCTGTGCTATCTCTCCAGCCCCTGCTCTTTGGTTTTGAGCCCACACCTGGCAGTACACTGAGGTCTCCAGACACAGTCCTGGGGGAAGGTGGGAGATTATGGTGGTGGTGGGCTGAAACTGGGACCCTCCCTGCACATGCATGCCAGCTATCTTTTTTTAAGGGTTGGGAACCGTACTGGGTGCTGGCAACTGAACCCGAGCTGGCCACATGCAAGGCCAACACCTTGCCTGCTGTACTACCTCTCCAGCCCCAAGTTGCTTTCATTTTTCCTTTTGCTTTGCGGTCACCCCATGGGGTGGCTGGTGCTCCCGGGACCCTGTGCTTCTAGAACCAGCCACCTGGGGTTGGCATCGCTCGAGGCTAGAAGCTGGGGTTCCTGCGTGTGCTCCCTGACTCATCTTCGTTGCCTTCACGGGCACTTGACTCTTTGCAGATATTTGTGGACAACTTCGTCCACGCCGACCTCCACCCGGGGAACATCCTGGTGCAGGGCGCCGAGGGCTCTCCCGAGGGCCAGGGGTCCCCGCTGCCACCTGCCGCCGCCCCCCACCCACTGCGCCTCGTGCTGCTGGATGCGGGCATTGTGGCCGAGCTGCAGGCTGCTGACCTGAGCAACTTCCGGGCCGTCTTCACGGCCGTGGCCTTGGGCCAGGTGAGAGCAGGCAGGGCGGGTGATGCCCGGGAACATCCTGGCTGGAGCAGCGTCTCCTCCGCAGTTGCGGCTCTGAGGCGGCAGCCTTACCCGGGAAGGACCCCTGTGCACTGAGGGCCCCATGTGGACTCAGGGATGGCACCGTGGGGGGCGTCCGTGCCTCCCATCCTGCCCATTGTCTGTCTGCTGGCGGCCTTTTTGCTTTTGCTCGGGGCCCTCCCAGGTCTGGGGCATGTGGTGCTGAGGACTCTGTCCCCAGACGTGAGCCCCAGGCTGCTGAGAGGTGCCGCGGGGGGCCACAGCCTCCACGGGCATCACAATTGGGGCCTTCCAGGCTCTGTTGGCTAAGGTGAAGCTGTAGTGAGAGGGACTCAGCCCAGTGCTGAATGGACTTAGCCCTGGGGGTGTATCCAGAGGGGGGACATTGAAGAGCCCCGGCCCCCAGCGCCGGAGCACTGGCCTTGAGTGAGGCCCTGGGTTCTCGACCCCAGCACCACAAGAACACAAAACCCCACATCCCTCAGCTGCAGAATTCTTCAGCAAGAAAAAGACTCCGAGAAGCCAACGGGGACAGTGAGGAGGCAGGGAGCCGTCCCAAGACCTGGCCAAGCCTGTCTCAGGCATGGTGTGCAGGGGTGCCTCTGCCCAGGCCATAGCCCAAGGAGGGCTGCGAGGCATCAGCAGGCCACTGGGACGGGCACATGGCGGGACCTGAGTCAGGGTGAAGGGGCAGAGGTATGGTGGGTGGGGGCCTCTGGGATGGAGCCTGGGGCCTGGGAGCAGGCCAGGCTGCTTGTCAGCAGTGCCTGCCAGGCCCGAGCCGCAGACCTGGCTGGCCTCTGCTTAGCCCGGATACATGATGTTCACAGGGCGGGGGTTGGGAAAGTCCCTGGGAGGCCAGGGCAAGGCAGAAGCACTGAAGAGGGGTTTGGACAGAACATCTTCTGTTTGGGGGCCCCACCTGGCAGTGTTGGGGCCCAGCCGTGCAGTTCCTGGTGCCGGGGCGGAACCACTGTCCCCAGCATCTAGCTTTCTGCCGTGCTGGGGGTCCATCCCGGCCTCAGCCCTGAGCCGCCCCCCCAACACTCTTTCCCTTGCCGCCCCTCAGGGTCAGAGGGTGGCCGAGCTCATCCTGCACCATGCCCGGGCCAGCGAGTGCAGGGACGTGGAGGCCTTCAAGGCGGAGATGGCCAGGCTGGTGGCGCAGGCCCGGGAGAAGACCATCACCCTGGAGAAGGTGAGCAGCTCAGCGGCTGGGCGGAGCGTGTGTTTCTGGGGGTGGGTGGGGGGGTGTTGGGGGTGGCAAGGGTGGCGATGTCAGGGCCGGGGTGGGGAGCGACGGACCCCCACGTGCGCTGCAGCCCCCCCTCTCTCTTCCAGCTCCAAGTCTCCAGCCTCCTGTCCAGTGTCTTTAAGCTGCTGATGACTCACAAGGTGAGGTGCTGGGCGCGCCCCCTGGGACTCTGCCGGCTGTGGGGGGTGGGGGTGGCCTCCCGGGGAAGCTGCTGCTTGTCCTGCGGCTGCTTTTCGCTTTTCTTTTTTGGTGTGGTGCTGGGGATCGAACCCTGGGCCTCACGCAAGTGCTTGGTCATTGACTCACATCCTCAGCCCAACATCTGGTTCATTGGTTTGGGTTGGTTTGGGGTGGAGGGGCACACATCTGGCCATACTCAGGGGCTTCCTAGATGCTGTCTGCGGGTGGGAGGCCTGGAATGCAAAACCAGAGTAGCCCACCGAGTCTCCCAGACCCCAGGACTGTGCCTGGGGGGGGTGTCCGATCAAGCACCCGTCATGAAGCCCATCTCAGCAGTGCGAACATGGCCTGATTGAGCCGGTTCCTGCCTTTCCCCTCTCCGCTCGGGGTGATTCTTTGGTGTTTGGATTAGGGGCCACCCCTGGAGGTGCTCAGGGGACTGTATGCAGTGCCATGGAGCCCTGAGTTTGCTGCGGGCAAGGCAAGCACCCTACCCCTGGTATTACGGAGCCAGCCCCGCAAGTTCTGAGGTGTCACCTGGGGACTGGGAGAGCTGGAATCACTCGGGGAATGAAAGGGTTTGGGGAGGGACGGGACCGGATACCCCTTCCCAAGAGCTTAGTGGGCGCTGGAGTGGAGGAGGTGGAGGCCGTGGTTCCTCACGCTCACAGGCTGCCCGGAGGGCCGGTCCGGGTCGTGCCAAGGGGACCCCACTCTGCTGCCACTCTCAGCACCCGACACAGCTGGCATCTCCTCAGCATTCCCGCAGGCCAGCAGGTGCCATGGCCGCACGGGGTCACCTCCTCCCCCTTCTTCAGTTTCATCCACCTGAGAAACAGATTTTCTTTGGGCCACACCCAGTGGTGCTAAAGGTTTACTCCTGGCTCTGTGCTCACTCCAGGTGGGCTCGCGGGACCAGACGGAGTCCTGGGTATCAAAGCCAGGGGGCCACATGCAAGGCAAATGCCCTCCCCACCGTATTGTTGCTCTGGGCCCTGTAGCCTTTCCATTTTGAGAGATGCCAACACCCTCAGAAGGAGTCTTTTTAAAAATTTTTTAAACCTTTTTTGGGTCACACCCGGCAATGCACAGGGGTTACTCTTGGCTCTGCTCTCAGGAATTACCCCTGGCGGTGCTCAGGGGACCACATGGGATGCTGGGAATCGAACCCGGATTGACCGTGTGCAAGGCAAACACCCTACCCACTGTGCCATCACTCCAGCTCCAGGAGGAGTATTTAAAAAAAAAAATTTTTTTTTATCCTTTTGGGTCACACCCAGCGATGCTCAGGAATTACTCCTGGCGGTGCTCGGGGACCACAGGGGATGCTGGGAATCGAACCTGGATCGGCTATGCAGCGAGGCAAATGCCCTGCCTGCTGTGCTATCGCTCCAGCCCCTCAGAAGGAGTCTTAACAGTTCATCTGTTCAGGGTTCATTGCTGTTTAGATCACCCCACGCCCACACAGACCCAGACCAGCTCATACAACCTCAGGTTTCCTGGACATGTGCAGGGGAAAGAGGGAAGGGGCTGGAATGTCAGGTGGTGGTGAAAACCGCATGGCACAATGACTGACCCGGGTCTCGGAGCTGCCGCGTTTCTGCTGCAGGTGAAGCTTGAGAGCAATTTTGCCTCCATCGTGTTTGCCATCATGGTGCTGGAGGGGCTTGGCCGCTCACTGGACCCCAAGCTGGACATTCTGGATGCCGCCAAACCCTTCCTGTTGAAAGGACTGGCCGCCGCCCCCTGACCGGAACCCTGGGCCGCACTCTCAGCTGGACCGCTTGCAAACAGGGGCGTATGTCGGGCGTCCTGTGCTTTTCCCTGGACTGTGGGGGTGGAAGGGGAGGGAGATGTCTCCATCCAACCCTGGGCACTGGGCCTGGGGCCAAGGGCACCTTAGTTCAGGGACTGTGTTTGGTGGAGGAGGAGAAAGAATAAACTTATTTTGTTTCCTTCTGTGTTTTTCTCGCTCCTTCTACTGAAAGGCGCCTAGTTCCCAGAGACTGACATTTTGATCACATACACAGGGGTTAGAGAAATAGTACAGGGGTTAGGTTGCTTGCCTCGAGGTAGCCAATGAGGGTTCAGGTTTGATCCTTGGCACTACCAAGAGTGGCTCCTGAGCACTGCAGGGCGTGGCCAAAAATCTATTTCCACAGAATGCCAGTGGACAGGGCCAGTTTCTTTCCTTATGTACCCTATAAGTGCGGTAACCAAGGTTTTGCAGGTCCTATACAAGTAGGGCCAGTTTCACTGAACTTCAAATAGTCTTCTTGATAAGTTTTAGCCGACTTGTTGCTGAATTTTATTGCAAGGTTAAAAGCAGCAAGCCAGGGTCGGGAAGAGTAACATACAGGTTCAGGGCCCTGCGTTGCAAGCTAGCACTGGGTCACAAGTTCACCCCCAGGGTACTATGAGTTCACCCCCAAGGGTACCACGTGTGCCAAGCGTGACCCTGGCAGAGATCCTGTGTGCCCTGCAGAGCCAGCAGGCAATTCCCTGCTGCAAGGCAGCCAGGCGCACGTAGGCACCACAGAAAGGGTTGTGCAAGCCTGGCACTGGCATTAGCACCACCACAACCTGCCCCTCCAGGAGCAGCGCGATGCCACAAGGAACGGAACGCACACCGCGGCAGCGACCACACGCAGAACAGCCCCCAAACAACCGGCTGATTGGCCCAAAACACCTGAGTGCGCAGCCCAAGTGATAACACCAGTCCACAAGTGGGAGTATCTGTGTGTGTGTGTGAGAGAGAGAGAGACGCTGGGGCACAATTTGGAGACTTCTGCAAACATTATGAACAGAACTCCATATAAATAATCAGACAATCTTGCTCATCTGCGGAATACACAGAAACAAGCAAGGAGGAAGGGGGAAAAAAATAAGGGTCAGCCAATCTCCCGGGTCAACAAACGCTGAGTCGCGATTTACTGGGATCCGGTGGGGTGGCGGGGGTCAAGGAGGCTGTAAAGGGGCGTTCGAGTATTCCTGCGATACAGCGGTCAGAAATTGCTACAAATAAAATACAATAAGAGGCGGGGGGAGGGGGCTGGAGCAATAGCACTGCAGGTAGGGCGTTTTGCCTTGCACGCGGCCCACCCGGGTTCGATTCCCAGCATCCCATAAGGTCCCCTGAGCACCGCCAGAGGTAATTCCTGAGTGCAGAGCCAGGAGTAACCCCTGTGCATCGCCAGGTGTGACACCCCCACCCCCCAAAAAAAAAGCAAAACCAAGAGGCTGGAAGCTCTGGAAACACCGCGCGGGGGGGGAGGGGCACCCCGAGGGTCCGCGCAGGTCCGGGGAAGGTCGCGGGGCGGCGCCGAGTCCTGGCTCGGCGTTGGGTTCCCGCGGGGGCCACGGCGTGTCCACGGGCCGTCCCCGCCGGCGTGCGCGCCCCACCTCTCGGGGACACCGTCCCGCGCCCCTCCCCCGGGGAGGCGCAGGCCGATGACGTCAGGCGGGCGCGGGGAAGTGACGTCGCGGAGGCGCGGCGGGCACGGCTGGGTGGACGCGGGCTGGCATGTCGGCGCTGACGCGAGTTGCGCCCTTCGTCCGCCTCGGACGCCGCCTCTTCAGGGGCGTCCGTGCGCAGGAGGCGGGGGGCGCCGGAGTGCGCCGGTGAGTGTCGGCGGGGGCCGAGGCTTCGCCCGTTGGGAGGGGAAAGTGCCCGTGTCCGGGGCGCCCTCACCTTGACGCGCGGCTCCGGGACCTTGCGGCGACCCCTCGCCCCGAGGCATGCTGGGATTTGTAGTGCGGCCGCGCGGGGCGGGGCCTGCGGGTGGGGCGGGGCTTGAGGGTGGGCGGGGCGGGGCCGGCTCCGTTGCCTTCCTTACTCCGGGTTCGATCCCCACCACCCCATATGGTCTCCCGAACCCGCCGGGAGAGATCTCTGAGCATACAGCCAGGAGTAAGCTCTGAGCTCTTTCGGATGTAGCCCCCAAATAAGCACCCCCCCCCCCCAACTCTCAACCAAGCAGGGGCCAGAGAGATGGTACAGGACTACTTTGCACTTACCTTGTATGCTGCCGACCCAGGTTCGATCCCCGGCATCCCGGATGGTCCCCCCGAGCCCACTAGGAGTGATTCCTGAGTGCAGAGTCAGGAGCAACTCCAGCGTCGCTAGGTTTGGGCCCCAAACCAAACAAAAATATAGACCTTCACTACCCCGGAGCTGGTCTTGAGAATTCCCAGGTGAATGTGGCTTAGAGGAGGTGAGGACGCACCTGGTGGAGAAGACAGCCTCTGGCTGGTGCTTTTTTTTTTCTTTTTGAGTCACACCCAGCGGTGCTCAGGGGTTACTTCTGGCTCATGCACTCAGGAATTACTCCTGTCCGTGCTTGGAGGACCATATGGGATGCTTGGAATCGAACCTGGGTTGGGCCGCTTGCAAGGCAAACACCCTACCCGCTGTGCTATTACTCCAGCCCCTGGCTGGTGCTTTGAGGCCTCCAGTGGGGGGTCCGCAAGAGACAGAGGCTAGGTGGGGACCCTGGGCGGGGGAGGGAATGGCAAAGCTGCCGGAGACCTGGCTTAGAGATATGGGGCAGAGGTGATAGCGAGTTTTGGAGATTTGGTTTGTTTGGGGGCCACACCTAGCGGTGTTCAAGGAAACAACTTGAAGCCTGAGTTGCTCACTCCTTTGAGATATCTCCCGGATATCTTAGCGATTTAATTTGTTTGTTTTTGTGTCACTCCTGGCCATGCTTGGGGCTTACTCCTGGCTCTGAGCTCAGGGATCACCCCACCTGGTCCTTGGGGGGACCAAATGGGGTGCCGGGAATCGAACCTGGATCAGCTGCTTGCCAGGCAAGCGTCTTACCTGTTGTGCTATCTCCCCTAAGTTTTTGTTCAAAAATTTTTAAGTTTTGGAGCCCCATGGGCACATCCGGTGGTTGTGGCCAACGAGTGGTTCCAAAGTACTGCCCAAGGAGGAGGTGATGCTCGGACCTCGTGATGCCAGGACGAGGCCCTGGTGCGTGCCAGGCCCTGTCCTGACCTACGTCATCTCCGGCCTGCAGTGCTTGTCTCCTGAACCGGATGGTCAGACCCTTACTCCGGCCGCAGGGCCGCGAGCACTCAGGAAGTGAACCTCAGGCCTCGCCTTTGGAGAGTCCAGGCGGGTCCTGGCTGCTCCGCAGATCCGAGGCAGCCCTAGAGAAACGGACGTTTGCGGGGGCTTGTGCGGGAGAAAACGCGAGGGTGGGCTTCTGGGCTCTGAGCCGTGTTTCGCCCCCCAGGGCCGGCGGCGGGGTGCACATCGAGCCCCGCTACCGCCAGTTCCCGGAGCTGACGCGCTCGCAGGTGGTCCAGGCCGAGTTCTTCAGCGCCACCATGTGGTTCTGGATTCTCTGGCGCCTCTGGCACGACTACGACGCGGTGCTGGTGAGTGGCGGAGGGACGAGGGCCCGGGGGCCCGTGGTGGGTAATCAACGAGTTTCTTTGCTGTTTAGGTTTTGGTTTTGGGCCACACCTGGCGGTGTTGGGGGGTTACTCCTGGCTCTGCGCTCAGGGGTCACTCCAGGTGGGGCTCAGGACCATAGGGGGCAGCTCGGGTGCAAGGCAAGGGCCTCCCTCCTGTGCTCTCCTCCCCCCTCCCCCCCCAGTTTTGCTGGTTTGAGCAACATTTTGTTTTATTTATTTATTTATTTATTTATTTTGCATTTTGGGTCACACCCGGCAATGCACAGGGGTTCCTCCTGGCTCTGCGCTCAGGAATTACCCCTGGCGGTGCTCAGGGGACCATATGGGATGTTGGGAATCGAACCCAGGTTGGCTGCGTGCAAGGCAAATGCCCTACCCGCTGTGCTATTGCTCCAGCCCCACATTTTATTTTTCTTTTATGGAACCGGGGCACACCTGGTCATGCCCAGGCTACTCTCGAGGGTGCTGGGAGTCAGACTGGGGACTCTGGACGGACAGCTGACCTCTCCTTGGCCCTGCCTCTGGCAGTTTCTCTGCTTATTTCCCTTCACCTGGTTGCCTTTGTGTTGTTTAATTTTTGGGTTTTGGGCCACGCCTGGCTGTACTCGGGGCTTCCTCCTGGCTCCGAACTCGCGGTTTGCCTCCGGCAGTGTTAGGGGGACCCGGTCAGCTGCAAGGCACGAGCCCACCTCTTGTCCTCATATGCCAGCCCCCCTCGCCTGTGGCTGTTTTATCTGACAGGAGCCCAGATGCTCAGTATCTGGTTCTTTTTCCCTCCACCCGAGTGTCTGGCTCTGCTTGCAGACATCAGAGTCAGCCCATCCGTGCAGCTGCCCATGGCCATTGGTTTTCTTTTGGTCTTTTTCCCTTTTTTTCCCCCCTTTTTAATTTTTATTTTACTTATTTTGGGATGGTGGAGCTTGAACCCTGACCTCTTACAGAGCGTGTCCCCTAGTACTGAGGGACACTCCGGCCCCCGTTTTATCATTCCCTTCCCTTTTTTCCCCCTTTCGTCTCTGACTTCTTATTCCTGGGCCTGCTGCCCTTTGTTGTGGCCTTTTTTATTCCTCGGTTGGTGTTTCTCTTAGGTTTCCCCTGCTCGGCGCCGGGCTGCAGGGCTGCCGCGGCCCCTGTTTGCCATGCTTGGAGGGGCTCGCCCGCCCACCTCAGCCTCAGCCAAGCTTCTGTCAAACTGAAGCCCCAGCGCTTGGCACTGCCACCAGGCCTGGGGTTGGCCGCAGGGAGAGGGCGCGTCCGCCCCTGTGGCCTGGTCATAGCGGCTTCGGGCCCCACCGTGTCTGTGCACGTGCTGGCGCCGTGGAACCCCAGACGCCCTGCATGGGCCCATTAGGCGGGCGCTTTTACCAGGGTTTCTTCTGAAGTGGAACCTGGTATATGGAACGTCT